TTCTGTTGTTTGGAATAGTTTCAGAAGGAATGGTACTAGCTCCTCTTTGTACCTCTGGTAGAATTTGGCTGTGTATCCGTCTGGTCCTGGGGTTTTTTTGGTTGGTAGGCTATTAATTACTGCCTCAATTTCAGAACTTGTTATTGGTCTATTTGGGGATTCGAATTCTTCCTGGTTTAGTCTTGGGAGGGTGTATGTGTCCAGGAATTTTTCCATTTCTTCTAGATTTTCTAGTTTATTTGCATAGAGGTGTTTATTGTATTCTCTGATGGTAGCTTGGATTTCTGTGGGATCAGTGGTGATATCCCCTTTATCATTTTTTATTGTGTCTATTTGATTCTTCCTTCTTTTCTTCTTTATTAGTCTGGCTAGTGGTCTATCAGTTTTGTTGATCTTTTCAAAAAACCAGCTCCTGGATTCATTGATTTTTTTGAAGGGTTTTTCATGTCTCTTATCTCCTGCAGTTCTGCCCTAATCTTAGTTATTTCTTGTCTTCTGCTAGCTTTTGAATTTGTTTGCTGTAGCTTCTGTAGCTCTTGTAATTGTGATGTTAGGGTGTTGATTTTAGATCTTTCCTGCTTTCTCCTGTGGGCATTTAGTGCTATAAATTTCCCTCTAAAGACTGCTTTAACTGTGTCCCAGAGATTCTGGTACATTGTATCTTTGTTCTTACTGGTTTCAAAGAATTTTTTTATTTCTGCCTTCATTTTGTTAGGTACCCAGTAGTTATTCAGGAGCAGGTTGTTCAGTTTCCATGTAATTGTGTGGTTTTGAGTGAGTTTCTCAATCTTGACTTCTACTTTAATTGCACTGTGGTCTGAGAGACTGTTGGTTATGATTTCTGTTCTTTTGCATTTGCCGAGGAGTGTTTTACTTCCAATTATGTGGTCAATTTTAGAATAAGTGCGATGTGGTACTGAAAAGAATGTATATTCTGTTGATTTGGGGTGGAGAGTTCTGTAGGTGTCTACTAGGTCCACTTGGTCCAGAGCTGAGTTCAAGTCCTGAATATCCTTGTTAATTTTCCATCTCATTGGTATGTCCAATATTGACAGTGGGGTGTTAAAGTCTCCCATTATTATTGTGTGGGAGTCTTAGTCTCTTTGTAGGTCTATAAGAACTTGCTTTATGAATCTTGGTGCTCCTGTATTGGATGCATATATATTTAGGATAGTTAACTCTTCTTGTTGCACTGATCCCTTTACCATTATGTAATGCCTTTATTTATTTATTTATGATATTTATTGGTTTAAAGTCTGTTTTATCAGATACTAGGATTGCAATGCCTGCTTTTTTTTGCTTTCCATTCGGTTGGTAAATATTCCTCCATCCCTGTATTTTGAGCCTATGTGTGTCTTTGCATGTGAGATGGGTCTCCTTAATATAGCACACCGATGGGTCTTGACTCTTTATCCAATTTGCCACTCCCTGTGTTTTAATTGGGGCATTTCACCTGTGTACGTTTCAGGTCAGTATTGTTATTTGTGAATTTGATCCTGTCATCATGATACTAACTGGTTATTTTGCCCATTAGTTGATGCAGTTTCTTCATGGTGTTGATGGTCTTTACAATTTGGTATGTTTTTGCATTGGCTGGAACCAGTTGTTCCTTTCCATATTTAGTGCTTCCTTCAGGAGCTCTTGTAAGGCAGGTCTGATTGTGACAAAATCTCTCAGCATTTGCTTGTCTGTAAAGGATTGTATTTCTCCTTTGCTTGTGAAGCTTACTTTGGCTGGATATGAAATTCTGGGTTGAAAATTATTTTCTTTAAGAATGTTGAATATTGGCTCCCACACGCTTCTGGCTTTTTAGGGTTTCTGCGGAGAAACTGCTGTTAGTCTGATGAGCTTCCCTTTGTGGATAACCCGACCTTTCTCTCTGGCTCCCCTTAATATTTTTTCCTTCATTTCAACCTTGGTGAATCTGACAATTATGTGTGTTGGGGTTGCTGTTCTTGAGGAGTAGCTTTTTGGTGTTCCCTGTATTTCCTGAATTTTAATATTGGCCTGTCCTGCTAGGTAGGGGAAGTTCTCCTGGATAATATCCTTAAGTGTATTTTCCAACTTGGTTCCATTCTCCCTGTCACTTTCAGGTACACCAATCAAACATAGGTTTGGTCTTTTCACATAGTCGCATATTTGTTCGAGGCTTTGTTCCTTTTCATTTTTTTTTTCTTTAATCTTGTCTTCATGCTTTATTTCATTAAGTTGATCTTCAGTCTCTGATGTCCTTTCTTCTGATTGATTGATTTGGCTATTGATACTTCTGTAGGCTTCATGAAGTTCTCATGCTGTGTTTTTCAGCTCCATGAGGTCATTTATGTTCTTCTCTAAACTAGTTATTATAGTTAGCAATTCATCTAACCTTTTTTCAAGGTTCTTAGCTTCCTTGCATTGGGTTAGAACATGCTCCTTTAGCTCGGAAGAGTTTGTTATTACCCACGTTCTGAAGCCTACTTCTGTCAATTCATCAAACTCATTCTCCATCCAGTTTTGTTCCCTTGCTGGTGAGGAGTTGTGATCCTTTGGAGGAGAAAAGAGGCTCTGGTTTTTGGAATTTTCACCCTTTTTGTGCTGGTTTTTCCTCATCTTCTTGGATTATCTACCTTGTTGGATTTATCGACCTTTGGTCTTTGATGTTGGTGACCTTTGGATGTGTTTTTTTTGTGTGGACATCCTTTTTGTTTATGTCGATGCAATTCTGTTTGTTAGTTTTCCTTCTAAGAGTCAGGCCCCTCTGCTGCAGGTTTGCTGGAGTTTGCTGGAAGTTCACTCCAGACCCTGTTTGCCTGGGTATCACCAGTGGAGGCTGCAGAACAGCAAAGATTACTGCCTGTTCTTTCCTCTGGAAGCTTCATGCCAGAGGAGCACCTGCCAGATGCTAGCCAGAGCTCTCCTGTATGAGGTGTCTGTCAACCCCTGCTGAGAGGTATCTTCCTCTCAGGAGGCATGGGGGTCAGGGACTCACTTGAGGAGGCAGTCTGTCCCTTAGCAGAGCTCGAGGTCTGGCAGGCAGGAACATTTACATCTGCTGAAGCTGAACCTACAGCCGCTTCTTCCCCCAGGTGCTCTGTCCCAGGAAGATGGGAGTTTTATCCATAAGCCCCTGACTGGGGCTTCCGTCTTTCTTTCAGAGATGCCCTGCCCAGAGAGGAGGAATCTAGAGACGCAGTCTGGCTACAGAGACTTTGCTGGGCTGCGGTGGACTCTACTGAGTCCAAACTTCCTGGTGGCTTTGTTTACACTGTGAGGGGAAAACTGCCTGCTCAAGCCTCAGTAATGGCAGATGCCCCTCCCCCAACCAGGTTGACTTCAGACTGCCGTTCTGGCAGTGAGAATTTCAAGTTAGTGGATCTTAGCTTGCTGGGCTCCACGTGGGATCTGCTGAGCAGGACCACTTAGTTCCCTAGCTTCAGCCTCCTTTTCAGGGGAGTGAACGGTTCTGTCTCGCTGGTGTTCCAGGCGCCAGTGGGGTATGAAAAAAAATTCCTGCAGCTAGCTCAGTGTCTGCCCAAATGTCTGCCCAGTTTTGTGCTTGAAACCGAAGGCCCTGGTGGTGTATGCACCTGAGGGAATCTCCTGGTCTGTGGGTTGTGAAGACTATTGGAAAAGCGTAGTATCTGGGCCAGAATGAACCGTTCCTCATGGCATAGTCTCTCACGGCTTCCCTTGGCTAGGAAAGGGAGTTCCCCAACCCCTTGTGCTTCCTGGGTGAGGTGACGCCCCACCCTGCTTTCGCTTACCCTCTGTGGGCTGCAGCCACTGTCTAACTAGTCCCAATGACATGAGCTGGGTACCTCAGTTCAAAATGCAGAAATCACCTGCCTTCTCAGTAGATCTGATTGGGAGCTGCAGACCAGAGCTGTTGCTGTTTGGCCATCTTAGCATCTGGATCCTTGAAATCTGACTTTTAAAGTGTAAACCAAAAGTATCTGAGACAGCTATCAGTCAATTTAGAAAGTTTATTTTGCCAAGGTTAAGGATGCATGCCTGGGAGGCAGGTCTGTGCTTTTCTGAGAGATGGTTGTGAGGGCTTCAGTATTTAAAGGAGAAAGGGTGGATACAGGGGAAAGAGGAAGAAATTTTAAAAAGATATGGGTAGATAAGAGACAGATGGTTTGAATTCTTTAGTCTTTGATCACCTTTCAGCAAATACACAATTTAAATTTGAGAGAAGGGTAGAGGAATAGTCGCTAGCTCAGTGAATCTGCATTTTTACATCAGAGGAAGGAATCAGTTATGCATTTATCTCAGGTGAGCAAAAGGATGATGACTTAGAGTTCTGTCCTTTGTCCTGCACCTAAGAAAATAAGCTATCAATTTACATTGTCATAGTAAAATTCAACAGAACTGTTTTAGGGTAAAGATCCTGGGGTCCATAAGGGATTTCCTACTGAGTTGTGAGGAAGGTATGCAGGGTTTTTATATTTGTAGCTATCTTATTTAGGAATAAAATGGGAAGCAGGTTTGCCTGACACAGTTCCCAGCTTGACTTTTTCCTTTGGCTTAGTGATTTAAAGTTCCCAAGATTTATTTTCCTTTCACAAAAGCTTACATACTTTTTAAAGTGGCTTATGTATTATCACTGGAGACAGTTCACACATTTACTCATCCTTTTGTTTTGAACCAAATCTCATGTAGAAGACAATTCTAGGGAATTCAGGTGTATTCTGGTCGCCATTATTAATATTTCTTTTGTTCGAATGGCAGTTGGCCATTTTTATCCTACAGAAAATCTACAGCAGAAGAGACAAGAAAAATCTGTGTAATTGATTTTATGTCTTTACTTTTTATAACTCCTCTTTCTAGGTTTCAGAAAAGTCACTGTTAGAATGAATTGAGCTAAGTTAATTCAGCAAGTATTAGGAGCGTCTTTTATGTGCTAGGTACTGAAGGATACATAGAAACCACACAGAGTAATTTACTATAGAACTTGAATTCTTAAAGGAAGACTTGTTTTCTCTGTGTTAATAAAAAACACTTTTTCTTTCTGATTCAAGTCAGATGACCCTGATGGCTCTCAAATTGAGAAAATAAAAGAAGAAATAACTCAGCTGCGCAGTAATGTTTTTCAGGAAATTTATCATGAGAGGGAGGAATATGTAAGTATTTGATTCTTTGAAGTATTACATTAGATTTTACTCTAGAAATTGAATTTAAATATCCGTTTTATGAGGTGGACTGTAATCACAGGGCTAGAGGTATTATGTAGAAAGTTTATATATATATTGATCTAGTAAGATTTTTGTAAGTTTAGAAATAAATTTCACATGACCAAATATTCTGACCATTGTACCAGTGTGGAAATAACTGAAAATTGTAATGAAGGAAAATCATCACTTGTAATATTTCCGCTCAGTGATAACAGTAGTAATCATTGTTAACTTTTGACTTTCTCTTAGTCTTTTTTTGCTTGTTTTTAGAATTGAGATTATAGCACAGACACACTTTTGCATATTGCCTTTTTTCTGTTTAACATAAAACCTAAAGACCTTTTCCTTACACAAAATTTATATCAACATCATTTTCCCATAATGTTGCAATGTAAACATTAATGAGCAGCATAATTTAGTTGAATGTAACAAAATAGGACTACCTGGTTTTGGGGGCAGGAGAAGTTACATCTTTTAAGTCTCTATTTTACCACTGATTTTTGTGAGCTTGGGGAAATAAATCATTGTATTTTTTCTTTAAAATGGAAGAATATTGTATTTTATATCTGGGAGATGTTACCAGGAAGAAGTTAGTTAAGAAACAGCACTTTGAAAGTAAAAATACTGACCGGGCATGGTGGCTGACACCTGTAGTCCCAGCACTTTGGGAGGCCAAGGTGGGTAGATCACTTGAGCCCAGGAGTTTGAGACCAGCCTGGGCACATGGTGAGACCCCATCTCTACAAAAAATACAACAGTTAGGTACATGGTGTCATCTACCTGTAGGCCCAGCTACTTTGGATGCTAAGGCAGGAGGATTGCTTGAGCCCAGGAGTTTGAGACTGCATCGAGCTATGATCATGCTGCTGCATTCCATCCTGGGCAACAGAGCAAGACCATGTCTCAAAATAAATAAATAAATAAATAAATAAATAAATAAATAAATAAATAAAAAAAAATATTAAAACTATGAAAACAATAGGTATTTTATGTGTCATGCTTTATTTAGCTAATTCATCCTGAGTATATGTAAATACCTTATTGACCTTGGGTTAAAATAGCTATCTTCCAGTGATTTGACAAGTGTTTAGAAGTTTTGCTTAATAAATATGTGATAAGTGGCTTTTCTTTTGTGAGGATACTCTATTTTCACATTTATTTCAAAGTTATGTAGAGCTATGTATTTTTTCTCTCAGGCTTAAAAATTTTTCTCTTAACAAAACTGCTGTTATTTAAAAATGTCACTGTGTTCTTAATATTTTGAGAAATAATGACAGTTTTATGCCTCAAATTGATATATTATCAGACATTTTCATTTTAGTTTGGAAGTGGGTGAGGACTTTGACCTTGCAAGATTTGTGCTTATGTATGTATCCAAAGCTTAAAATTGGTAATTAAATTTTTCTTCAGTTAGTAAGATGGTAGTTTAGATGGGTTAAAAAAATACTTCAGCCAACTTAAATTTAAAGGAGCAATGAACAATTTGCAAATTGGACAGCCAAATCACAGCAGATTCAGAGAGACTCTGGGGATGCTTTGTGGTTAGAACAAATTTATAGACAAAAAAAGGGAAGTGACTTACAGAAATCGTACAAGAACAACTGTATTGGTTACAGGTTGGCGTTTGCCTTATTTGAACGCAGTTTGAACACTTAGCAGTCGATAGGTGGTTGAAGTATGGCCGCTGGGACTGGCAAAGACTCAGCTATTATAGGTGCATACTGCTAAGTTAGATTTTCAATCTTGTCTGCCTATTAAGCTAGGTTGCAGTTCATCCACAAGGACTCAAATATAGAAGTACAGAGTCCTTCTCAGGTCATATTTAATTTGCTTCAGCAGATGCAAGGTGAGTCTTGGTTTTCACTTGTTATTTCTTGAAGTAGAAGGCAGAAACAGTGATTATGTATCTTACTTGGTATGTTATAATGTAGATGCTGATATATTTTCCTGAAGAGCAACATGTCAAAATTGAATATATATTGATCTACAGTTAAAAACTTTTTTTTTTTAAACTTTAGGAGATGCTGACTAGTTTGGCACAGAAATGGTTCCCTGAGCTGCCTCTGCTTCATCCTGAAATAGGATTACTCAAATACATGGTAAACTTTGTTTCCCTTGAGAATTAGTACTATGCAGAGAGTGTTGAAAAGTGATAATATTAAATTTGTGTCAGTGTTAAACTTATAGTATCTTTTTAATGAAAATATTCCTGATGAATATTTTATGGGTATTAGAACTTTTTCTTATGACCCTTTAATGTTTGCATGGTATATATTTTTATTTTTAAGTTAAATTGCATTATCTATTTTTCTGTTTTCCTTATCCTCATTCAGTACATTCCATTTGAATTATAGGTGTACTTATTTGAATTATAGGTGTTTATTGTTTGAAATGACAAAATAAAATTTTAACTGCTACTTCAAGAGTTAGGATAAAAACAAGATATTGCTAGCCATGAGGGATTTGAGCACAATGTGTTTTTTAAGTTAAAGCATTCTGGGAAAAAATTCCTGAGAGGTTGGCTAAAGTGGAGATGTTGAGGTGGGTATGGTTTTCTACGCAGGCAGGATTCAAAAGCTGGAGATCAGCATATTAGATAGGGGTCATATGGAGCAGGATTAGTAAACACTGGCTCTCAGTACAGAATCTGTTAGTCCTATCCTGTATATTGCCTTCTACGGTGGGGGCCTAGATGAGGTATTTATTCATTAAGATTGTCATTAAGTCCATTATAATGGCTTAAATATGGAACAGAGAGGGATATTTGTATAGACATGTGAGTTTATTCTGAAAAATATTTAAGATTAAAGTTCCCTAACTTAAATAATTACTCTAAACTCTTTCCAGACTAGACTTTAAAATGATGTGCAGTTTTCTTTGCAACTATTTACCTCTAACTTAGCGATTATCTTACGCAGTGTGGGCAAATGAGTATGTACTGCCACATAGGACTTGAAAATTAAAATTTAAAAATATGCTGATCTACTTTATTATAGAAGATTATAAAAGGTTTGACTCATGGTTTATGGAAGCCTTTAGTGGCTTTCTGATGTTTAACTGTAATGTATACTTAGGAATTTTTTGTAGGTTGATTATATATTGTAGAATACATAAATGTACTGGCAAAACTTAAGAAAAAGCCCCGAAAACAGTTCTACGGTGCTCCTTACTGAAACTGCACCACAGTAAAACTTAGCTTTAAAATGTTGATGATTAGTGTGCAAAATTATTCCTTTTATAAAGTAGCAGAAATATCTAGTAAAATTAGTTATTGAAAGCCATTTTCACTTTTGAGGACTCCAAGCAGGGGCAGAGGTGTTAGAATTACTTCATGGTAGTCATAATTTTGGACTAATCTTTCCCAGTTGACAACTACAATTTTGTCATTATTTTACCTTATTTATTTTTTGTTTTTAAAAATATGTTTATTTCAAGAGTTTTTGGGGTACAGGTGTTTTGTGGTTACATGGATAAGTTCTTTAGTGGTGATTTCTGAGAGTTTAGTGCACCCATCACCTGAGCGGTGTACACTAACCCAATATATAGTCCTTCATTCCTCACCCTGCTCCCAATCAGTTGTTACTTTAGTATTTTTAGGAAACATAAGTGGTTTTTCAAGTAAACATTAGGGATCCTAGGATGCATATCTGGTTAATAATTCTATTCATTTCCTGAATCTGTTCTAAAATTATAGCAGCAATTAAATATATGGTGATTACACTTTGGGTAGGAGGAGTTTAAGAACCAGGAACTGGAGAAAATTCAAAATTTTAAAGATTTTAATTTTACTGGTTTTTCCAGTACAGTTGATATGTCCAAGTCATTTAATAGCATGTAACTAATTATGTTTATGATTTTTAAGTGCTGGGATTGTTTGGATTCTTCAACTGTCATAAAAACTTGTGCCTAGAACTCTGGTGGCCTCCTTACAATGAGCTTGGAACGAGATCTTCTTGATGCTGAGCCCATGAAGGAACTTAGCAGCAAGCGTCCTTTGGTATGTTCTGAGGTTAATGGGCAGATAATTCTGTTAAAGGTAAGCCTAAATTGTTCTTTCTTGTGGGAGATTCAGCAGCATAAAGGATAGTGGTGCTTGTTACATTTCAAGAAAGAAAAAACTTCACTGTTAGTTTTCTAAAGTATATAAGTTGACTGGCATGATAATTGTGCTTGTAGTTTGGTTGCCAGAGCTAATTTTTACTTTTAAAGTTTCCGTCAATTGAACAATGAGAACACCTGGACACAGGGTAGGGAACATCATACATGGGGGCCTGTCGTGGGGTGGGGGACAGGGGGAGAGATAGCATTAGGAGAAATACCTAATGTAAATGACGAGTTAATGGGTGCAGCAAACCAACATGGCATATTTATAACTATGTAACAAACTTGCACGTTGTGCACAGGTACCCTAGAACTTAAAGTATAGTAATAATAAAAAAATTATTTAAAAAGGTCATTAAATAAAGCTTTATCTCACATGAAAAAAAAATCAACAAAGTTTCCCTCATTTCCCTAAATAAAATATGTCCTTAATAGGATATGCTTTCCTTTTTTTGGGTGAACTTATTATATTCATCCAATATCTTTTTAAAATTCTTCATTTTCTTACATTTCTCCTTGAAATATCAGCTGTGTTGTCAGTACAATCTTCTGCTCCTGAATTTCTTTTCATTGGTCTGGGAAACTATTAATCATGATAATAAGATAATTAATTTGGCCTTAGTTGCTACACATTCTAGAATGTGTAGCAGGCTACAGGTAGAATTGCACTTTCCTTTTCCAAATTATAGCATTCAAAGAAGATAGAAAAGTACTTATAAAATTAAAAAACAAAATTAGATTTTATTTAACTTAATGAATTATGTTTAAATTGGAATGGTGTATAATTATAATGAGATTTTCATCTTGGAATTACCAGTGCCTCTTTTTTTGGTACAAGGGCTATTCTGTGGATGTTGACACAGAAGCCAAGGTGATTGAGAGAGCAGCCACCTACCATAGAGCTTGGAGAGAAGCTGAAGAAGAGTCAGGGTTACTACCATTGATATTCCTGTTTTTATGTAAGGTAAAGTTCTTATGCTTATCTCTTGCAGAAACCATTTTATTTACAATAAGTTTAAACTCCAGGTTTTAGAGCAGCAGTTCATTCCCCTTAACCTAAAACAAAAATTATGCTATAGAATCAATGTATGCTAAAATACGTTGAAGTTTTAACTTGGAGTCACATTCTCTGTTTTGCTTCTTAGTCCGATCCTATGGCTTACCTGATGGTCCCATACTACCCTAGGGCAAACCTGAGTACTGTTCAAGCCAGCATGCCTTTAAATTCAGAAGTAAGTACAAAGCACTATTTATTTCCATGGATGTATTAAATGAGAAAATAACACCTAATATTTATTCAGGGCATACTACATGCTATATACTTTGTAAAATTTTGACTCATGGTATTCTTTTTAATTGTCACATCAAACCTGTGATAGAAGTTATTATATGGATGAGAAAAAGGGCTAAAGGGATTAAGTGACTTGCACAGGGTCCCTTAGCCAGAGGTAGAGAGGGGACTCGAAATTGGTTCCAAAGCCCAAGCTTATAACTACTAAGCTGTGCTGTATGTGAACTGCCTAATATAGCACTTGGTATTATAAGTACTTAAGTGGCAGCTTTTATTTTTATCATTGTAAATTTAGGATTAGTAATAACAGTGAAGGAGGCCCTGATTCTTCTTATGGAGTAACACTGTTTCAGTCTCTTATAGGTACATTACATGGTTGGTATTTGTAATCCAAGTCTTCTTTGAGATAATAGAACAGGTGTCCTCAAACCCCAAGTCACAGACTGGTACCAATCTGTGGCCTATTAAGAACAGGGTGGCACAGCAGGAAGTGAGTGGCCGGTGAGCAAGCATTACTGCCTGAGCTCAACTTCCTGTGAGATCAGTGGAGGCATTAGATTCTCATAGGAGCATAAACTCTTTTGTGAACTGTGCATGTGAGGGATCTAGGTTGCACACTCCTTATGAGAATCTAATTCCTGTGATCTGAGGTGAAACCGTTTGATCCTGAAACCAACCCCCTCCGCATCCGTGGAAAAATTGTCTTTCATGAAACTGGTCCCTGGTGCCCACACACACACACACACACACACAGTGTCACCATTACAAAATCAAGGCTTCATCTGGTCTTTAATTCTTTCTCCATGCTGTATTCTTATTAAAGATTCATTTGGAGGAAACTTTACTCATTTCTAGAGCAGTTTTTTAATTAGAGAAAAGTTTCAAGATTAAAATGATTTGCCTACTTCCTCACTTGTTTTGTGTGTACGTATCTATAGGAAGCTTTAAAAGTCATGAAAGGTGTTGCCCAGGGCCTGTATACATTGCATAAGGCTGATATAATTCATGGATCACTTCATCAGAACAATGTATTTGCTATAAACCGTGAACAAGGAATTGTTGGAGATTTTGACTTCACCAAATCTGTGGTAAGATATCATGGTTTTACAGATAGGTTCTAGACTTTATTTAATATTATTAAGCAGTAGTTCAGCATTTATATATAATATAATACTGTATTATAGGATCTTTGCCTTCAGTTAAACTGTGTCATGTAGTATAAGCAACTGTTTGCTCTCAGCTAGGTGCTAGAATAACAAGAATTTCTAAGTTTGTTCATTGTGTATTTTAACCATAAGTCTTAGGAGCTACCTGACATTATATACTCAATGGCATTGACAACATTAATTATTTTATCATCATTAGGAAACATTTAATTGCTAGGAAACATGCAAGGAAACTAGGTGGCCATCTCCCAACCTATCTCCACTGGTGTCCCTCTGTCTATAGATACAATTTACATATACGTACTTTGCTATTTTTTGATTAATAATGTACATTTTTAGGAACCTTGGGCTTTTTAGGAACCTTGGACTTTTTAGTTTAAATCCAGATTCAACTCTAATGGCTGTTAATTTGGTGTCATATTACCTCAGAATAGGCAGTTTGTAGAGATAGCAAAGATCAGATAAGAGCATGTTGTGATTTTTTGTTGTTGTTATAATGGGAACAATACTCTTTTAACTGAGAAATAAAAATTATGTATATCATGTACAACATGATGTTTTGAAGTGTGTATACAATGTGGAGTGGCCAAATCAGAAATTATTTTTCTAAAAATAGCAGCTTTATTGAGATACAATTCACGTAAAATATACAATTCAGTAATAGTTTGTAGTACATTCACAGAGTTGTGCAGTGATAATCAGTATTGAATTCCAGAACATTATTATTCCCGAAAAGAAAATCCATACTGATTAGCAGTCACTCAAATTTCCCCTTCTTCTCAAGCCTGAAAACCACTAATACACTTTGTGTCTCTATGGATTTGCCCATTTGGACATCTCATGTAAATGGAATGATACAGTACGTGGACTTTTATGCTAACTTCACTTAGCATAGTGTTTTCACAGTTCATCCACGTTGACTGCATCATAATGCCATTCTTTTTTGTTGCCAAATTATATTTTGTTGTATGGCTGCACCACGTTTTGTTTATATATTCATCAGTTGCTGGACATTTGGGTTGTTTACACTTATTGGTTATATGAATAATGCTGCTATGAGCATTAGCATACAATTTTTTTGTGTGGACATGTTTTCATTTCTCTTGGGAGTGGAATTAACTGGGTTATATTGTTTTACTTTTTGAGGAGCAAAACTGTTTTCCAAAATGGCTACATCATTTTAAATTCTTAGCAGTAATATATAGGGATTTTGTTTTCTCTACATCCTTGCCAATATCTGTTACTATCTGAGCAATTCCCTTTAACTAGTATATGTTATAATGCTTTTATGCTTTGGTCATCTGCAAGTCATAAGGTAATGCTACTGGAGTATATGTAGTCTTAATGGTTTTCATATGGTAGCTCAAAAAGATGAGAAAATGAAACTGCAACTGTAATCAAAAGCTGGATTGTACAGATTGTACAGGATTTATACAGATTGATTTTCTGAAATATTTACTTTATTATATTAGTTTAACTTAAAATTAAGATATCCTAAGAAATATAACTAAATTATGAATCTTAAAAGATCTCAGCTTTTAGGGATTCTGGTTAGTTTACCTTTTGAGCATACCATTTGCATAACTGTAGATATGACTACAATAATTACTCTTCTCTTTAAATACTTATTCATCCCCTGTTATTATTCCCCAAAACATTGTTTTTAATCTTCAGTTAAAAATACTTATTCTGAAATATTGATCAAACTTACCTTTTGCTACATTTTCCATGCAATTTTTAGACTGAAGTGATCATCAGGAAGATAAATTTGAAAAGTAGTCTGAGGTCAAGATCATTGCTTTTCAGACCTTATAGTGCATATGACTCACCTGGGATTCATGTTAAAATGCAAATTAGTGTTCAGCGTTTCTGCAATGGATCATCTGCATTTCTAACAAGCTACCAGTTAATGCTGTAGCTTCTGGCCCTTGGACCATACTTTGAGAAGCAAAGATCAAAATCATAGCTAGAAAAAAGATAATTAACACTTAGTGATACCTGCTAGACATTATATCTCTGTAAGGTAGACATTATTTCCATTTTACAAATTAATTTAGGCTCAAAGAGGTTTACACCTACTGTGTACCCATAAAAATTAAAAATAAATTTTAAAAATGGACAAAAAAGAGGTTAAAGCCCTAGGTCACACAGCAAATAAATGGGAGAGTGGGGAATTGTAACCAAGATCTGCCTGAATCTAGGGTTCATGCTATTGTCACATCATCTTTGACATGTTAGAAATGGTATATTTAGAGAATGGTCAGTAAGGAAGGAAAGTGCTTTGTAGGATTTCAGTTCTTAAATGAATTATTTAGAATTTTCAGAATTAGAACATAGTACTGCTGCTTACTCTTGTGAAATTTATTTTTAAAAAAGAGTGTCAAATATTTAATCACAGAATCAGTGATTGTTAGTATTAATCTGTTCAAGTCTACAAAATGAATGTAAAAAAAGTCCCATAGTTACTATTTTAAGACTGATTTTAAGAGCAATTTATAATAGCAGAAATTGGTAAAAATATTTGAAAGCAAGAGAATGAAATATTTAAAATGAATTTGGTTTTTTTTTGTATTGATTAAATGCAGAATACTTCACAGAAAGTCACCTCAATTATGTTGTATCTAAAATATTTAAAATATTGTTTTTGCAGAGTCAGCGAGCCTCAGTGAACATGATGGTTGGTGACTTGAGTTTGATATCACCTGAGTTGAAAATGGGAAAACCTGCTTCTCCAAGTTCAGACTTATATGCTTATGGCTGCCTTTTATTATGGGTATGTTACTTTTTGTTGAAATAGATCATATATATATATGTATATATGTATATAATGTGATGATTTTTATAGTGATTCTCCTTAAAAAGCAGCAGACTTTTAGTAGAACTTTAAGTTTTATGAAAAACTATTGATATGCTTCCTATTACCTATTGTGTACTTTCTACAAATTGGCTTGATATATATTTTAGGTATCATGCTATTGTCTTAGCTTTGTTGAAGTCAAGATTAACAGTGAAGATGATTTTGTTCTACATTAATCTGAAAGCAGTTCATGCATATGTGGAAAATAAATATTAAATGAGTCTTGGGTATATTCCTGCTTCTACAGTAAACCAAATAGGTGTTTCTCATCCATGGTCTAAGAATTAAGAAGTTGGATGGAGCTGGAGGCCATTATCCTAAGTGAATTTACTCTGGATCAGAAAGCCAAATACTGCATGTTCTCACTTATAAGTGGGAGCTAAAAACTGAGTACACAGGGACACAAAGAAGGGACATTGGGGTCTACTTGAGGGTTGAGGTTGGGGGAAAGGTAAGGATTGAAAAACTACCTGTTAGGCTGATTACCTGGGTGACAAAATTATCTGTACACCAGACCCCCATGACACACTGTTTACCCGTGTGACAAACTGCACATGTACCCCTTGAACCTAAGATAAACGTTGGAAGACAAAAAATAAAAAACTTGTTTCATTTTGTACTGCTGTTTTACATAGAGAGTGCTTCTTTTTCCAAAGCCTTGAGTGTGACAAAACCTTATCTTTGTTGATCACATAAACAAAAATAATCTCCTTGTTAAAAAAACAAGAGTTAAGAGGGATTAAGAGAAGGAAGACTATTCTTATCAGCCCGTGAGCCCACCAACATTTTTTATAAAGGCCGGATGGTCTCTGCTGCAAGTACTGAGTTCTGCTGCTACAGCATGAAAGCAGCCATAGACAGTATGTAAACAAATCAGTGTGGTTCTCTTCCAGTAGTACTTTATTTATGGATATTGAAATTTGAATTTCATGTAGTTTGCATGTGCATGAAATAGTATTGCTTCAATTTGCTATGAAACATTTAAAAATGTGAAAACCACCCTTGGCTTGCAGCTGTACAGAAACACGTAGTGGAATCAGTTTGGTGCAGAGGCCATAAAGTGTGCTGATCTCTGTTCTACCCAGTGTAATAAGGTCACAAAAAGAAATAAAAGTCATAGAGTTTGAAAATGAAGAAATAAAGCTGTCTTTATTTGCAGATGACATGCTTAATTATGTAGAAAATCTTTGAGAATGTACATAAAAGCTACTAGAACAAATGAGTTTAGAAAGATAGCAGTTTTAATTTCAATATAATTGTGTTTTTATATAGGCCACAAATAACAGGAAATTAAAATTTAAAAATCATTTACAAAAGTGTTAAAATATGGAATTTGTAGGGGTAAATTTAGCAAAAGATGTGTGCAAGAGTTGCATGCTATTAAAACTACAAAGCATTGTTCAGAGAACCTCAAGAATACATAAATAAATGTACAGATACACCATGCTTATGGACTAGAAGACATTGTATGGAGATCAGTTGTTCTCAGATTGGTTTATAGATTTGATGCAATTTCAACAAATAGTAGATTTTGCTTATTTTTTCAGAAATTGACAATTAGATTTTACAATTAATATGAAAATAGAGAGGATCTGAGATATAGCCAAAACACATTTGAAAAAGAAAAAAATTGAAGGACCCAAACTACCTGATTTTATAACTTAATAGATTCTAGGAAATTAAGACAGTGTGGGCCTAGAGGGGTGGCTCATGGCTGTAATCCCAGCACTTAGGGAGGCTGAGGCAGGAGGATTGCTTGAGGCCAGGAGTTCAAGACTAGCCTAGGCAACACAGTGAGAACCCTCTGTCTCTACAAAAAATAAAAATTAGCTGAGTGTAGTGGTGTGTCTATGGTTCTAGCTACTTGGTAGGCTGAAGCAGAAGGATTGTTTGAGTCCAGGAGTTTAAGGCTGCAGTAAGCTATGACTGCTCCACTGTGCTCCAGCCTAGGCTACAGAGCAGGACCCTGTTTCTAAAAACAAAAGTGATACTTCTGTGAAGTTAGATGTCCAGATGAATGGAGCAGAATAGAGACAGTATAAATAGACTACACATACATGATAACTGACTTTTGACAAAGATACCAAGGCAATTCTCTGAGTGAAAGGAGACTCTTCAACAAAAATGATACAGGACAACTCATACCATAGAGAATAAATTTTGATTCATTCCTTATACCATGCACAAAAATTAACTCAAAATGTATATCAGATCTAAATGTAAAACCTGAGTCTCTAAAACTTATAGAGGAAAACATAGGATAAAATATTTGACTTTCAACTTGGCAAAGATTTCTTAAGAGGACACAGAAAACATCAACTCTAAAAGAAAAAAAATCATTTGGATTTCATCAAAATTGAAAACTTTGCTCTTCCAAAGACATTGTCACAAAAATGAAAGGCAAGTTACAGACTAGGAGAAAATATTTGAAAAACATATATCTGACAAAAATATTATATCCAGATTATTAAGAGCTCCTACAATTAATACTAAGAAGACTGCTCAGTTCAGAAATGGGCAAAATATTTAAACAGGCACTTTACCAAAGAAGGTGTCCACATGGCATGTAAGCATGTGAAAGATGCTCTAAACACCATTTGTCATTGTCGTTAGGGAACTACAGATTAAAACCAAAATGAGATACCACTATACTACTCACTATAATGTCTAAAATTGAAAAGACCATACCAAGTGTTGCTTAGATGTGTTGTACCTAGAACTCACATATATTGCCCAGGAGAATGTAAAGGGAACAACCACTTTGAAAAATATTTGGCAGTTTGTTAAAAGGTTGAACATATTCCTACCCTATGACCCAGCAATTCCACTCCTAGATATTTAGCCAAGAGAAGTGAAAGCATATGTCCACACAAAGACTTGTATGTAAATATCGAAAGAATTTATGTGTAATTGATGAAAAGTAGAAACAACTCAAAGTCCATAAACAGATGAATGGAAAAACAATTTGCTATATATGTCTCTTATCCACTGGAATACTACTCAGGAACAAAACGATTGAACTATAAATATAACTCAGTAAGATGGATGAATCTTAGAATAATTCTGCCAAGAGAAAGAAGCCAGATGATATGGTTTGGCTGTGTCTCCACCCAAATCTCACATTGAATTGTAATCCCCACATTTCAAGGGTGGGGTCAGGTGGAGATAATTGAATCATGGGGCAGTTTCCCCCATGAGGTTCTCGTGGTAGTGAATAAGTCTCACAAGATCTGATGATTTTATAAGGGGAATTTTCTCTTTTGCTTGGCACTTCTCCTTGCTGCTGCCACGTGAAGAAGGATGTGTTTACTTCCCCTTCTGCCATGATTGTAAGTTTCCTGAGTACCCCCCAGCCATGCTGAACTGTGAGTCAATTAAACCTCTTTCCTTTATAAATTACCTGGTCTTGGGGATATCTTTGTTAGCAGTGTGAGAATGGACCAATACAGTAAATTGGTACAGAGAGTGGGATGCTGCTGTAAAGATACCTGAAAATGTGGAAGCAACTTTGGAACTGGGTGATGGGCAGATGGAGAGCTCAGAAGAGGACAGGAAGATGTGGGAAAGTTTGGAACTTCCTAGAGACTTGTTGAATGGCTTTGAGCAAAATGCTGATAGTAATATGGCCAGTGAAGTCCAGGTTGAGGTGGTCTCAGCTGGAGATGAGGAACTTGTTGGAACTAGAATAAACATGACTCTTGATGTTTTAGCAAAGAGACGCTGCTTTTTGCCCCTGCCCTAGAGATTTGTGAAACTTTGAACTTGAGAGAGATGATTTAGGGCATCTGGTAGAAGAAATTTCTAAGCAGCAAAGTGTTCAAGAGGTGACTTGGGTGCTTTTTTTTTTTTTTGGGAAACAGAGTTTCGCTCTGTCGCCCAGGCTGGAGTGCAGTGGCTGGATCTCAGCTCACTGCAAGCTCCGCTTCTCGGGTTCACACCATTCTCCTGCCTCAGCCTCCCGAGTAACTGGGACTATAGGCGCTCGCCACCTCACCTGGCTAGTTTTTTGTATTTTTTTAGTAGAGACGAGGTTTCACCGTGTTAACCAGGATGGTCTTGATCTCCTGACCTTGTGATCCACCCGTCTTGGCCTCCCAAAGTGCTGGGATTACAGGCTTGAGCCACCGCACCTGGCCTGACTTGGGTGCTTTTAAAAGCATTGTTTTATGTATTCACAAAGATATAGTTTGGAATTGGAACTTATGTTTAAAAGGGAAGCAGAGCATAAAAGGAAAATTTGCAACCTGATGATGCAATAGAAAAGAAAAACCCGTGTCTGGGGAGAAATTCAAGCTAGCTGCAGAAATCTGCATAAGTAACAAGTAGCTGAATGTTAATCACTAAGACAATGGGGAAAGCGTCTCCAGGGCATATCAGAAACCTTTGTGGCAGCCCCTCCCATCACAGGCACAGAGGCCTAGGAGGAAAAAATGGTTTCACAGGCTGGGCCCAGGGTCTGCCTGCTGTGTGCAGCCTTGGGACCTGGTGCCCTGTGTCCCAGCTGCTCCATTTGTGGCTAAAAGGGACCAAGGTACAGCTCAGGCCGTGGCTTTAGAAGGTGCAAGCCCCAAACCTTGGCAGCTTCCATGTGGTTTGAGCCTGAAGGTGCACAGAAGTCAAGAATGGTGGTTTGAGAACTTCCACCTAGATTTCAGAGGATGTATGGAAATGCCTGGATGTCCAGGTAGAAGTTTTCTGCATGGGTGGAGCCCTTAGGAGAGCCTCTGCCAAGACAGTGTAAAAGGGAAATGTGGGGTTGGAGCTCCCACACAGAGACCCCACTGGTGCACTGCCTAGTGGAGCTGTGAGAAGAGGGCCACAGTCCTCCAGACCCCAGAAGGTTAGATCCACTGACAGATCGCACAGTGTGCCCAGAGAAGCCACAGACACTCAATGCCAGCCCGTGAAAGCAGCTG